AGTTTTGAGAAAAGAAAGGATGACCCCAGATGTAATTCGAATATGAATGGTCAGGGAAGTAAAGGACCCACGAACATGTTTTGGGAAGAACTGCTTGATAACCAAAGCCAGCCAATTAAGTGATCAATTAAAAGAAAGCGCTCAAGCAGAGAAGCTATGACAAAAGAACTGTTTGTGAGCACTGGACCCATTTACATGTATTAATAGAACTAATGCTAAACAATCTTTGCAATCATGGTATTAAAACATGTGAATGTTACAAATTTGGACAGTGTAAAAATAATAATACAGTCAAAAATTGGGAGATGAGGGAGAAGAGATGGGGGCTATCAAATATCAAGAGAGTTCTGATGTTCTCATCTTCCGAAGCTAGGATATGCTATCCAAAATAAAATCATGTAGTTAAAAAAAACTAAACATTTTTCATAATCACTTTTATTTAATTCTAGAATATGGATTCACAAACTACGACTTGGGGGCTAGGTTTTATAAATAAAGTTTCATTGAAACAGGCTGGGTGCAGTGGCTCACACCTGTAATCCCAGCACTTTGGGAGGCCAAAGCAGGAGGATCCCTTGAGGCCAGGAGTTTGAGACTATGCTGGGCAATATATTGAGACCCTGTCTCTACAAAAGAATTTAAAAATTAGCCAGGCATGGTGGCACATACCTGTATTTCTAGGTACTTGGGAGGCTGAGGCAGGAGAATCCTTGAGCCCAGGAGTTTGAGGCTGCAGTGAGCTATGATCATGCCACTGTACTCTAGCCTGGACAACAGAGCATGACCCTGTTTCTAAAAAAGAAAAAAGAGAAAGTTTCATTAAATTACAGTGTTTTGGTTCATTTGGGCTGCTCTAACAAAATATCATAAATTGGGTGGCTTATAAACCACAGAAAAAGCTCAAAGTCCAAAATCAAGGTGCTGGTAGATTTGGTCTCTGCTGAGGGCCTGTTTCCTGGTTCATTGATGGTGCCTTCTCACTGTGTCCTCACATGGTGGAAGGGGCAAGACAGCTGTGTGGGGCCTCTTTCATAAGGATACTAATTCCATTTATGAGGCTTCATCCTCATGATCTAATCATTTCCCAAAGGTCCCACCTCTTAATATCATCACATTGGTGATTAAGTTTCAACATATTAATTTTGGGGGAGACACTAACATTCAGACCATAGCACACAGCCTCACACATTCATTTACGTATTGTTTGTGCTGCTTTCCAATTACAACAGATATGAACAGAGCCCCCACATCTAAAATATATCAAGTGGCCCTTTATGAAAAAATTTGCCAGCCCTTGCAGAGAAATGTTTTTTAATTCAGAGGACTCTTGTGATAGAGAAATATTTATTGGAAGTTTAATAATTTATTAAGTTTAATCCAACCCTTTTTCCTCCTATTAAGTTCATGTTAAATTAAGTTTGATAATTAAGTCCTATTTTTATACAATCATATATCAATTACTCTAAAGATGTCAGGGATGATGGATTACCTAATGATATTCGGCATAGTTTCTTAAACTTTTGGCTTTTGTATTTCTGCCTTATTTGGCATCTTTATAATGAACATACATCATTTTTACCAAAATAATAAAATAAAATGTTTTTTTCTATTTGAAAACGCTGGAAGCAAATATACCAAAATGTTGACAATGGTTAAGTGTGGCTGATGGAAATGTAATTGCTGTTTTCTTCTTTAAGCTTTTCTACATTTTTTAAATTTTTAAAAAAATTTTTAAGCTTTTATAGAAGGTTTAGGCATCAAGTGATAAAGTTCTGAATTATAGTTTTGGAAATAATAATGAAGGACCAGTTATAAGGGACGTTGTTCTATTGACAATATGATTCTTTTATAATATGATATTTCATATCATATTATACAAACTACAAAGCATAATTCCAGAGTAAAATGTAATAAAAAACCATGACAAAAAGGAGAAACCACAGTAGATAATACTTGAATTCTTTTAGGCAATCATCACATTCATAAAGCTGTTTTCTTTAATGTGCACCAATCTCAATGTACCTTTCCAGTCTCATTCTCCCACCCAACCCTCTTTCTCACACACACCCTATACTCCAGACACGTAGGTCCTCACCTTCAGTGAAATCTTCATGCATTAATACGCTATTTTGCTTTGTTGCCACCTTTCTTTCTACCTATAATTGTATTCTCCTCTCCACCTAACATAATTCAATGTTTCCTTTAAGATGTCATTTAAATGTCACTTACTGTAGTACATCTCAACCTTGGCTGTACATCAGAATCACCTGGAGAGCTTTATAAAAATACCAAGGCTCAGGCCCCAGCCCAGCTATTCTGAATTAATTGCCCAGGGTTGGGGCCCAGGCAGCAGTATTTTTTAAAAGCTCCCCAAGTAATTCTAATATACAGCCAGGGTTGAGAGTTGCTGCAGAGCCTCCTGCAATACCAGCAGGCAGAGTTAATTACTCCCTCTTCCACGCTCCTATAGTCCTTAGCTTTTCCATTGCTCATGAAATTTAATGCTCATTGTATTAAAGTTAGTGTTATATAGTAAGTGCTCAGTAAATGCTGAAGGTCGTTACAGTCCTTCTCCCTCCAACCAGGCGTATGTGGAAGTGGTTATCCTTACCATGGGAATGGGACAGTGCAGATGTTTCATGTCCAGCAACACTGAGGAATCTATTTCTGGACACTGTAACCCTCCCCTCTGTTCTGCTATACACACACACACACACTCAACACACACAGAGACATCCCACTCCCTTTTCAGCAGAGTTCATCGGTCTGGCTTTTACTTTGTTTAGATTGTTGCAATTTAAAGAATTAAAGGAGGCAGCATTATGAATGTCCTGATTGCCTGACAGAATCCAAACATCACCTGCCTTCTGTCCTGTCCTTTGTGTCGTCCTTTACATTGTGTTTTATGTTGGATCCTGCTACTTTAGCTTTCAAGAGCAGGTTGTCAGGTGTTCTTTGTCAAAGGCTTTCAGAAAATCCAGATAAATTATGCTCTGTGCCCTGAAACTGCCAAACCTATATTTTACATCTTCACAGTGTTTGACAATTTTATTTAAGTTGAATCTTTCTCTCTTCCTCCGATTTACCTTTGCCTCACTGACCCTGATATCAATCAGACAAGTGGAAACCCTGCCATTTTTGATACTGAATATCTTCAGCTACGTATGTGCCATTTCCAGATCCTCAGCCACGAATGTGTCAGTCGCTTTGGGTGATTATCTCAGGCTTCCTGACTAGGAGGCGATCTGGGAAAATACTTGTATCTGGAGGTGAGGTGGGGAGAGGAGAGCTGAGGATGAGGGACAGCAACCAAGGTAGATCAACAAGATCAGAGTTTCATAAAAATGCCATCTGGCTACGAGTCCCTCATCCTCATTAAGGCAAGGTAGCGCCTCCCTTTCCCCTTCCAACTGACCTGGAAGGAAACATTGCACTTACAGTCTACTCTTTCCTATTAAAAATATGATTTCTTTTTATTATTTATTTATTTACTGAACATCATCAAAGGGTTCAGTGTTCATGGGATGGTGGCTGCCTTATGGTTACCACATGCTACCAGTGGGGGCCCTAACATTGTGTTCATACAGACGTTTCTCAGCCAAGAGATACTTACTTTGTAAAGTAATTTTTTCTGCCCCCCAATCTTGATGAAACTTTCCCTTTCTTTTTCCTTAAAGTCATCCTGATCTTGCTGAGCAATAAGGTGTTATACAATTGAGTCAAATGGCCAATCTCACTAATGTAAAATTGGATTAATCTTAAAATTGAATAATCTGTGCATATCTACTATACCATGTGACCTGAATCGACTAAGCTTTCTGTCTTGAATTTTTTTTTTTTTTTTTTTGAGACAGAGTCTCACTCTGTTGCCCAGGCTAGAGTGCCAGGCGTCATCCTAGCTCACAGCAACTTCAAACTCCTGGGCTCAAGTGATCCTACTGCCTCAGCCTCCCGAGTAGCTGGGACTATAGGCATGCGCCACCATGCCCGGCTAATTTTTTTCTATATATATATTTTTAGTTGTCCAGATAATTTCTTTCTATTTTTAGTAGAGACGGGGTCTCGCTCTTGCTCAGGCTGGTCTCAAACTCCTGACTTTGAGCAATCCCCCCGCCTTGGCCTCCCAGAGTGCTAGGATTACAGGTGTGAGCCACCGCGCCTGGCCTGAATTCTTTATTAATTAAATGGTAAACTATTACCTAGTTCCGTTGGAAGTTCTAAAAATTAATCACTGTTTGGAAAATTTAAATCATTTTATAAACACCAAACAATTGCATCTTCCCTGCTGAGAGGGCCTAGGTAATTCATAACCTCCTATAATAAAGGTAAAAATAGTATACTTGGGCAATACAATCAAATATGATTTATATGTAATACATATAATCTTTAAAATCTAGCAACCATTTAATAGAAACAATTCATATTTCATAACTATAATAAAAGCATTTTATGACTTTAGGAAAAGTAATTATCTACTATAACTGATCTGGACATGATGTGTTTATAACCATTTCTGAGATCTGCAAAAGAATCTACTCAGAGTTCATCTTTAACCTGTTAATATTGATTGATAAGTTTATCTTTAAATTCTACCATTTTTTTTAACCTCAAAACTCTAACATTTATTTCCTGGGAAATTTTTCTGTACAAAACTTTGCTGTATTCAAAACCTCCTCTGTTAAGATTCAGCACGTTTATATTGTAGTCATTAAAATTGAACAAAATCTTAGTGGTTCCTTTATTAAGTGCTGTACTGACTTTGTATAGTGGAAATCACAACGTGTTAATTGGATTTAACTAAGTATTTTAAATTACACAAACTCCTGACAGTAGTAGACAATAGCACAGGGTACTCATGAGCAATAAAATTGGAGCTGATATTGCTACTTTATTAAAACTTAATGAAACTATTCATAATCTTATTTATTGTTTATAAGATGGAAACTGTGTTCACTGTGAAGGCGAAAATGTCTGCTGAAAACAAATTTTTGATCATGTAGGTGACGGTTCAGAAGTTAATAAAGGGGTCCACCATATCCAATCTCACGGTTCTGCCATCTTCTCATCGCACAGATCCCTATTTCACCCCCATACCAGTCTTACAAGTGGATGCCAGCAAAGGTTGGTGATTTAATAGCTACTTTATGTGTTTAGGAAGATAAGGGGAAGAACATTGAGGTAGGATCTGGGACCTGAGTTTGGACTCACTCAACCAGTAATTCTAATTCTCCTAGGTGACCTCAGACAAGTCAGGTCCTCACACTGGCCTGAGTTTCTTCCTCTGTAAATCAGAAGGTTGGACTAGTTGATCACTAGAGTCCCTTCTACCTCTAAAATTCCTCATTCTATGGATTCAATATTGATTTAGATATTGTTATTACATATTAAAATGATTATTGTGTTTATGTGATATTATTAGAATTCATCAAGCTCCTGAGCAGATCATGATAGTATTCTGGTAGTATTCAAAAACTATGGCAAAGACCATCAATGGCCAATTCACAAAAGAGGAAATATAATGGTCAATAAACTTATGAGAACATATTCAACCTCTGGGACCTGGGGAAGTAAAATTTATAGTAAAAATAAAATGCTATGTTTTATTCATCAGACTGACAAAAATGTAGAAGTGATAATGTTAAATGCTGACAAACATGCGAGGATATAGACACCTTATGTATTGCCAGTGAGAATATGACTTGCCTCAGTCCTTGGAAAAGTAACCTTAGAGTATATATGAAAGTTCAAGTATGCATATGCTTGGACCCAGCAATTCCACTTTATGGCTTTGTCTTGTAGAAATAAAAGCACTATTTTTAAAGCAAAAAAAAATTTTATTTCAATATACTATTATGCAGAAATATGAAGCCAGAATTTATATAATTAGCATTTAAACTACGCATGTCTTCATCTAAATTCTAGTCTTGTGAAATCAGTGGATTTCATTTTTAAGCAAAAGGATCTCATATTTGTCTCGGTATCCTTAAGGCCTACAATAATATCCACCATTTTGTAGATACTAAATGTTAGTTGAAAGAATAAGTAAATCAAAGAGTAAGCAAATAACTAAGGACTGTATGTCCTAAGTATAACCTTCTGTACTTTTCCCTGCTATGTAATTTAATTGACTGAAGTGTTAAAGAATGCCGAAGTGGATCCCCTTTCCTGTCTCAAATACAACTGAGTGAGACAGTCTTTAATTACTTCTATCTCACTTTCTATCTGTTGTCTGGAATATTCAGGACTCAGATTTGGTTCCTAAGGGTTCTTCCTAGCATCTGGAGATTCAAAATTTTCCATCTTCTAGCTACTGTCTCCTCTTGTCTGCTGACCTCTGTCTGCTGGTGGTGGAGAACCCAGGAAAAATATGTATCTGAATTTGTTAACCTTCCACAAATGTAATCATTACTTCTCTAGTTATGGACCATTGTTCAGTAATCTTTGTGACATATGCTTTCTAGTTAACTTACGTAATATTTACTCCCTGGGAATACTGAATTACACCAGCAGAGTTCCTGTTTCTTGCTTTAATACCATTTTATATTCTTCCTGGGTCAAAGTAGGGTGAATGAAATAATGAATGAATGAATGAATCAATCAATCCTTGCTTTAGCAATAGACACACAAAAAAATTGCTAGAAATAAAGGTAAATCTATTAATAGAATCATGGCAACTGGTCCAGAAAAAAAAATCACATTTTCATCTCTAAATTATCTATGAGAGAACACATGACCTACCATAATATTTGTAATTAATAAAACAATTTAATCAACATATATTTGTTAAGTACTTGTCATGTGTCTGGTATTATGCAAGGTAATATGAGTGTCAAGAAACCATAAGCCACAGAAATGTACATACAGTGTATACATTTTTTAGGTATTCCTGATGTCCTTATATGTCATTTAAACCTCACTTCAGGTCTACACAAGTCCAGCAGGAGGTGAACTATTAATAACATCCAGAAGAGAGAATCATTTAGAAAAATATACTGTTAACTTCTCCGCTTTTTCTTGAATTATCTGGCCAAATCTAAGAAAGAAAGCTTTATTCCCCTCAAGTGAAATGTGTATCATTTTACAGTATATAGACCAAGTTTTCAATTCAGGCTCTGTGTGACCTCAGGCAAGTTGCTCTCTGATGTTAGAATAAACTCTAAGCTCTATGAACAAGGCATGCCTGACCCAGCCCTCACCTACGTCCCCATTCTCATCCCACTCGGCGCTCTCTGTGCTCAGCCACATGGGCTTCCTCTCTCTTCCTTATCAGGCCAAGCACATTTTCAGATCAAGACTTCACAAGTGCCTCTACCTATGCCCATAAAAGTCACTTCCTCAAGCACTTGTCCTTTTCCTTCAAAAATTACCACAATTTATAATAATGTATTTATTTGTGAATGTGTTTAATGTATTCTCCATCACTAGAGGCTCTATGAGGTCTCTCTGGTTCACCACAGTATCCTCCCCAGGCCCCAGAATAGTACCTGACACATGACAGGCACTTAACAAATATTGGTTGAATAAATAACAGAATAAATGAACTTCCAATTCCTAATTTATTCAACAGGAAAGTAAGAGTGTTATGAGGATTTAATAAAACAATGGTGTTAAAGGATAATTTTCGAAATCAGGTAAAATCATGA